AGTCAGGTAACTGCTTTTCCATTCTGAGGGTAGAGATAGGCAACATATGATTTTTTTTCTACTTTTGTAGCTGTCTTATCCGAATAAATGGCTCCATTGTTCTGAAATAGCAACAAGTTCTTTTTCTGTTAACGTACATTTCACGACCTAATTTTCATCAAGCTTAAATAACGGCTTCGGAAGCAGCGTTACTTTTCTTTTGAATTTGCTTGGTTGTTAAAGTAGTTATGTCATCGAAATTAAACTAACATTTTATTAACATTTCACCGAAATTAAGCTAACATTTACTTCACTGAAGTTAAACTAAACATGCCAAAAACTAACAACTTTTGCAGTTGCCAGTCTGGACGAGAAACAAAATGGAAATTTAAAGTTTCTCTTTACTCTCTGTCTGTGCAGAATGCAATTAGGTTTGTATTGATCTAATATTATAATTTTCTCGTCCAGAAAGAAGTCGATCTTAAGTTTTGTTGGTAAGTTTTTCATAACAAAATGGGATGGATCCCTGTTAAAATGCAATCAAGATATATATGTCATGTTATTTTCAATCAATTCGATTTGAAATTTTGCAGGTTTAAATTTTTGTGGTTTAATGCTTATGCAAAGGTAATTAGGTCTTAGGCAAAATTCTTATACGACCTTGAGCAGAATTGTGATTAGAATGCGTAAACAGAATAAAAAATTAATAATTTATCCCGAGATCTTTTATTCTAAAATTTTGCCGTTAAGAATTCACTACAGAAATGTGGTTTTCTAAAAAACTATCAAAAGTTTAAATAAACTACAGTAATCTGAGTAGCTAACGATCTGCTTGCATGCAATGTTGAAAGTGGTTTTTTAGAAATATAAATATTATTTTTAAATGCTGTATATGTTTTAGAATATGCAAAAACTGGAACAAGAACGAAACATGTCATATTTGTAAATGTGCATTACTGCTCATACCTCCTTATGTATATTAACATATGCATTTTTTGCTAATAATAATGCAATCAATTTTTGCTAAATGAAATCCACGTTCGTAATCTTTTATAAATTGCAAACAAAATCTATTAAAATAGATTTTCTTGTTTATATAGCATGCGCTTTTTATATAGTATTTGTAATTCTTTGTTTCGTATGTGTAGTTTAAAAAACAGAAGAAGAAAAAGAAGAAAGCAAAATAAATTTTTAGAATATGAATGACTTGGCTCATAATGTGAAACGTTTAACAGAAATTTTAAACTCAAAACGAAAATTTCTCAATTATTTTATATTTTTTGCATCATTTATTCAGACGTCTGCTAAGAAAACATATATATTTTTATTTTACCTTAATCTGCAACTACTTGTCAGCGGATTTATATTCAAATATATTACTTTATAAATTCCTTAAAAATTAGGCAAAAAAACAACCTTGTGTTTGACGTAGATTTAATTGAAACTCTACCGATTTCGAAGGAGACTGAATCTCTCTTGACGTTCTAGCGTATTTAATTACAACATATCCATGTGACACTTATCATTAATTAAATTAAGAGAATCCTAGAGTAATGAAACTTTGATAGGCGATGTTCCCACATTAACAATTATCTGTGGTTTTAAAGGAATATACACTCACTTCCAAAATTTAAGCACGAAGATGTAAAATGCAAAAAAATCAACAAATACTGCTTTGATTGACACAAACTTCGGCAGGAAAGTAGCATATATATTTATGCATAAAACAAAAGCAATAATTATATACAGAAATGAAAACAATATTAAAATTTTGTAAGTTATCAGGTAATGACATGCTGGAGACTTAAACAGAATCGTGTATAAAGTGAAAATAAACAGCATAAAATGAAAAAAGGACATTAATAGGGTATGTGATCCCCCCTCATCTGTAAACAAAGTTTACACCTTGTGACCATGCTCTCAATTAGGTGGTCAACCACTGCAGAATTAAGCAATCGCCATTCTTCTTGTAGAGCCGTTTGCAGCTCAATAAGTGTGGCTGGATGTGGGAAACGTGAAGATACAGCACGGCCGAGAGCATCCCAAAGATTTCAATGGGATTAAGGTCGGGCGAATATGCTGGCCCCCGCCATACGCGCAATCCCTTCAATCTCCAGTTAGTCATCGACGATGTCAGCTCTATGGAGACGTGCGTTATCGTCCATTAAAACAAAAGTAGGGCCAACTGCTGCAGCGTAGAATCTCACAATGGGTTCTAGGACTTCATCTCGATACCGGACAGCCGTCAAAGAACCCCGTTTAAAGATGTGCAGGTCGGTGCGGTATCCTAATGAAATCCCTGCCCACACCACAATACTTCCGCCTCGGAATGCGTGATGTTCGGTGATGTTTTGGGACTGATTGCGTGTTCGTTGTTCACACCATATCCTTATACGCTTGTCATCTGGCTCCAGAGCAAATCTTGACTCATCCGTAAACATGACATTGCCCCAGTCAGACGCATTCCAATTGACATGTTCCCGGCACCACTGTAATCGTGTCCTCTTGATTGGACGGATAGAGGAACACAAACTCGAGGTACCCGGGCGTACAGTCCACTCAGATGTAATCTTCGGCGTACAGTAGCTGCAGATATCGCCTTACCAATGGACGCTGTAGCCATAGATGTCACACGTGTGGAGGTCGCTCTGCGATTCCGCTTGGCTACGACAGCAATATATCGATCTTCCGCGGGGGTTGGGCGACCGGCTACGGGCCTTCAGACAACTGTCTGTGGGGTTTGGAATTGTTTCCATAAACGTGAAATTACAGAATGATGAACGCCGAAGAAAAGAGCAACATCTGTGATCGACTGTTCTTCTTCAATGCGCCCCACAGCACGCCAGCGCTCAGAATCTTCCATTCGTCTTCTGGAAGTCATAGAAACACGTATGTCTTGAAAACAAATTGTACGAAAGTTTTAAACACTTTCTGTCAGCACTTGCAGTCAACTTCTGTGACCCTTCATAAAGCTGGCTCTTATAAGACTGCCTTTTTTGCATATTTCTTGACAGGAAAACGCGATTGGCTGTTACCCAACATATTTACATACTTCCATCTACCTCTACAGCGAATTGCATCCTCTTCAATGCTGATTGGCTTCCGGAAATTAGCATTTTCCTCTCGGTGCTGATTTGGAAGTGAGTGTCTTTTAATTCAATGTATGATGCAAAAAGCTCCTATTATAAATTTGCCTATTATTTTGTCCTTCATATCAGCCTATTATTTTGCATTTCATATCAGTATTTATATGAGCTCAGGTAAAAGGAATTTAGCAAGAATGGTCATCTTCCCGAAATTCTTGGGATTTTATTTACCCTAATTCTTTTAATTACAAATAAAAATTACGTTTTCTTTATTGATAAATTGAAAATGCATAATCATATGTTCAATAACTTATTTTTTTTAGTTATTTATTAAATATTTGCTTTTATTATAAAGATTTATTCTTATAATTTATTAGTAAATTCAAACTCAATGTTTCATTTTTATTTAATATCATCTCTCCAATCCACATTTTAGCTGTTCCTTTTTTAATATTTTTTCTACTTCCTCATAGTAATAAATTCTAACACGCGGTGGATTTATTTATAGTTATATAAATAGTTTCCCGGAAGATAATTTTTTTTGGAATATTTTTCACCTGATCTCTTACCGGATTCATTCATAATTTGTGAACGCTAAATTTTTGTTTTCTCTATTTCAAAATTTATTAAAATAGTAGCAATATCTCCGATAGCCTGTTAAAAGAGCAAGATATAATAAACAAGATGGAAAGGAAAGCGAAATTTCAACACATAGTGGCGTGTGAATTAATGACGACAAATTGCATTTTCTCACTTTAAAAAATAATAAAAAAAATTATCTAGATTACTAGCATGAAACGTTACCCATTTCTAACAGTTTTTATTATGTGATAAAAGAAAGCTTACAAATACGCTACTGTTTCGTTTTGCATTAACTTGCTTCATTGCTTCATAAAAATATTCGTGCAGCTGTATTTACTGTTGCGAATCAAACATCTGTTTTATTACAAAAAATATGACCAAATTTTACGAACAAACAGATTTTACGTAAGAATTTATCTATGACTATAATAAAATTTCACCAATATGTAATCAATCTCAAATGTCTGAAATTCTTTTATTTTTGACAAATGCAAACAATTACCGTTCTTTCCCTGTTCGATAAAAAAAAGTCATCCTCATATCTGTATAAACTAGTTTTGATAAAACCATTAACGTATCGTTAAAACAGTACTTTCCTGTAATATTACTCGTATATAGGAACGTTATGTGCTTGTTTAAATTAACAGAAATTGAATCCCCCATTTGATTCACGAAAATAATATCCAACTTCATCTCTGTGTAAAGAAGGACAAAAAAAGACCGATTTCCTGTTCTTATGAGGAAATAAGAAAGATTTTTCACTGAATACTGAGGATGAAATATTTCAATTTTACCTTGGAAAAAATGAGCAAATGATTACAAGAATTTTAAATCTTTGTTGGCCCTTTTACTAATAAATACGTAATATATTTTAACTTTTAACTTATATAGTATGAATTCAGGTATCCACATGTCATATTTCATTTGATAGTTTGGGGAAGTAATAGCATCTTGTATCCAATGACAGACAAGTACGATGATTATATTTGGATGGAAAATATTACGAATATTTGTGTACTTTGCTTTAGTCACTTTTAGTGTGAGAAAATTATTAATCATTTTTAGGAATAACTGTTTATATACCTGAAATGCTTCTCGAAAAGTATAATTTTATTATGGGTTTACGAAATCTGACAGTAATAACTATGAGGAAATTTTTTATCATGCTAGTTAATTGCCAATACAGAAAAGTAAATAATAATAATAATAAATTAAAAGTTCTCATTTTGTAATTTTGATGCAGGCATGAATTAATGATGCTTTATTTTTTTCAATTTAATATGCATATGTATCTATCTTCCTCCAACAAAAATGCTTAGATTAAAATCAAAATAAACTGAAACACATAATTACCTGAAAAATATTCCTCTTCTTAACTGCGTTTGGTGAAATTATTATTCCTACCCATAATTTTTGAGCTCCGAATCCTATTCTCCTCAGCCTAATTATAAATAATCGTCTCAAATGCGTGGCTCAAACTGAAAAATAAGCAGGCTTGAAAAGCTCCGAAGCCGAGCGGATGCAGCCATGAGCCAATAAGATCCGGAACTCTTGATGTAAACAATAATTATCGCTAACTGGAGAACACTCGATCGAAGCTCAGAATAAATACACTGGAGAGGAAAGAAAACCTAATTTTATTGCTGTAAATAGCTCTTATCATTGTGTTGATAGTAAAGAAACAATCACTTTTTCTGCCGGAATAGTTTTTCATTATCTAAATGAGAGGTGCACTTAGCCCTCGTAAACACACTAAGAAGGAACGTGGAATGAGTAATATGGTTTAGTTCAGATAGAATTTAACACGCGTAGATCAAAGCTTTCTTATTAATGTTTTAGATAGATTACTAGCATGAAACGCGGTGTAAACGAATATTTCAGCTGAATAATTGTACTCAGACCGAACTTTTGTAACCAGAATTTCAACTATTTTCATTCCCTATTTTCCTTGTTCGTACAGTAAATAATAAAAGTGGCGATTGAATAAGTGCACAAATATGTTACTTTCTCTGAATTTTTTTTAAAAAAAGCAACAGATTTATTCGGATACGCATTGTAAAAGATTATGGCGTTTTATATCAGAAACATATCCCATCGCATGAAGTGTTGAAGCAATTGTTTGAACCAGTTCGAAGTTAGAGATTGGAGAGTTCTAAAGGTCATAACAAATTTCAAGATCAAATAAAAATATTGTTTGATCTTGAACAATGATGAAACTTTCTAGGATTCGTTTGTCGATGATAAAACAAAGTAAGATTTTTCAACCCAATTTTTTTTTTTTTACCCAAGACTTGATTTCCAAAACTAGAAATACCGAAGTCCTATGGAAAGGAGCCAGGAATGAAAAACAATAAATAAATAAAAAATAATTAATAATTTAAAGGCAGTAAAATGTAAAGAAGTAAATAAAAGCTTAATACGAATTCAATAATACGTAATTCAATACGTAGATCAATAATACGTAATTCAATAGTAAAATAAAATATCACAACTCGTCATATTTGTGACTCCAGCTGGAATTGAAATTTCATTCAAAATCTAAGAAATAGCTCAGCTCATTCTGGTTGAAGCCTTGAATATATTTCAAGAGATGATAGAAACAAAGACTATTCTTTTTCCAGCACACAATGAAATAGAGTAAAACGGTTAAGCTTTACTATTGAGAATAGAAAGAATGTTGAAAACAGTAAAAGAGCAAGCAAGGGAGTTTTAACAGAGATGTGTAAGCAAGAAAACAAAGAGAGAAGAGTCCAACATCCCCAAAGGGTATAATTCTATCTATCAGGTTGAATGTAACACCAGCACTGAACATGCACAACTAGGGTTGTCACTTATAGTACTTTCGGAAGCAATAAATTTACCCACTCATAACGCTGCACTTCCTGGAGATTAAGACTTTGACATGAGAGTGGAGTCTTTTCTCTCCTTACAAGTCTCAATCTCTGCCGAAAGGGTTATTTCCCAGAGACAGTGAAACGTAGATTAAGAATCGATTTTTACGGCATGTTATTAAATTAAATTTTCGATATCAAGAAATTTTTTTGGTAAAATCGTGGTTAAGGTACATAAATGAAGTGCCGAGGACTCCGGTGCTCTCCGGCTAGAATCAGGATTTATATCAAAAATTGGGAAGTACCGGGGCAGGGCTTCAATGTCCTCTGGCGCAGCAATTAAATCTCTCTGTCTGTACCTAAGTTCTAGCTGAGTTTCAGTTTTAGAAATTCAAAAGCTTTAAGTTATTTCTATAATCAGAAAAACTTTGTATTAGTTTTGAAATGCTTTTCCTTTCTCAAACGTTAGTAAAAAGTAATAAAATAGTCAGTAAATATTTATGTGAGTACTTAAAAATTTCGAATTGGTTTGGTTTGTTTAATTATGGCAAAGCACACTAGGGCTATCTGCCTAAGGGGAGGAATGCCTTCGTGGAGGACTTTCTAAGGGAAACTGACTCGTATACACGTTACACAAGGGAAAAACCACGAAAACGCCCATGCAGCCAGCCCGTTCGCGGGATTCGAACCTCGGACCGAACTACTAGTGTTCAGCGACTTTTCGCTCGGCCGCTGGTGGGCCTAAAAATTTCGGAAGTAAGTTTTAAGTTTCTATTGGAGTTTATTTAAATCTAAAAACAGCAATATTTTCAAAATTTCATGTTTCTTAAAGTGACATACGAACCAAAAGGTAACAGCGTCAACACTAATTCCATTACAGCAAAGAAATATATCTTTTTCATGGTTTTACAAAATACTATTAAAAGTAAAATAAAATGTAAAGTATCGTCGATGTTTTTATGGCTGCAAACTATAAAAAAATGAAACTTTGCAAAAACATTTTGCTCCTAAAGCTCAGTGTAACATAAGCGTAAAAACTTCCACCATTGACCGAATGTTGGTAGTTCGACGAGGATTCAAGCTCAGATCAACAGGTTGACTGCATGGCTAGTTTTCGAAGGTATGTGTAACGTGAATACGAGCCAATTTTCCTCAGAAAGCCCGTCATAAAGGCATTCTTTCCCACAGGCAGATAGCCCTCATGTGCTTTGCCATGTTCAGACATTCTAACTTAATATAACCATACAGCGTGAGGAAACAAATATGTCTATACATATAGTATAAACAATAAGTCATATTAAAATGCAAGGAAATAGTTATGTATTAGTTCAGAAAGACATTGATTTTTTTTTTCAAATTATACGGTTGTAGTTTCTTTCAGTGAAGCTTATAAAATGATTATAGAGAGTCCTTCTAAAAAGATGTAATTTAAAAATCTTAGTAATCCTTTTATTTCTATTAATATTAAACTTATATATCTGGGTTTGAATTTCGCTAGCTTTCCTAAAAATGAGTATTAAATGTTTCATACTCCAAATAAGAAATTTTATTTTCTTAATAAAAAGTGTGTTCTACAAGTAAGTAAACATTGCACAATTATTGCAGTGAAAAATACCTGTAAAGAGTATCAAGTTTCTATCAACATTTGGAGATTTTTATCATATGATGCAGGTAAACTTTAATGACTTTTCATTAGCTCATGATAATGATCGTAATAAATAATTTCAATATCTCAAAATATTTATGATCATTTTGATCACAAAAGGATTTTCTTCACTGATAATATCATTAACTACAGTATTGAGATTTGCGTAGATAATTGCATTGTGATATTTACTAAAGAGATTAGATTTGATTATATTTTCCCTATATTGCCCCACAAGGTCTTCTGTGAAATTCTCCAAACACGTGTCAATCCGTAAAATCCGTATCTAGGGGTCAGCACGTGCCTGAAGGAGTACCATTTTGCTAAAATAATTAAATCCATATGCAGGAGCTGCTAAAGCTAAGGATACGATTATGAAGTGGCTTATGTGGTCCCATAATGGGTCTTAATAAGCTACATAAGAAAATTAAAGCTCTCAGAACACATGACTTTAACTAGCTAGCAGGAGAAACTCCAAGAACGGTCAAGTAACTGGAGAGACCCTTGTCTCCTGTACTGCATGCGTAGGAATCGGATGCAGCGGGAAGCGACGAGAGATAAAAGTCACGCTGAGCAACAAAATGAGTAAACGCCGGCGGTCAAAACTAGATTACAAAATTATGGCCTTTAAGCATGTGAGTATCAAATGGTCTGATCAAATTATCTTCTGGAATGATACGGTAACTAAGAAGTTCTGAAAAATTTTTAGCATCACAACTAAGTCCAGTTTTGAAGAAATGCTTATTAAGTTTAGTAATGTTTTCCACTATAGGATAGCTTTTCAAGTCATCATAGGTCAATTTGTCTCTAATCAGGTAATGGGCATTTACAGTTCTTCTCAGAATCTTATTCTGTACTACCAGAAATTTGCGGAAGTCTGCTTTTGAGGCTGACGTCCAGGCTACAGATGCTGCAGGCTCAATGTCTAAATCAAATTCTGGAGTGTCGAGATGGCGTTATTGGGTTGGGTTGGATGCTCTGTAGAGATAATTAGGTAATTTCGAAGCAGGAGATATGGAAAATGATCAATGCCCTAGCCGGGACTCGAACCGCCGACCTCTAAGATGCATGCTAAGAAGGCGGGAGAAATACCTTATAGCTATGCAAGCAGAAAAGCTGGCAGCTTTTATAAATGAAGTGTAATGCCCTTTGTCTAGATTAAACTGGGCTCTTCCCCCTTTTTTTTGTCTTCAGTGGCTCATATACATCACGTTAGGTGTCTCAACGTGATGAACGAGTGGGGTTGCTCGTTATCTGATGTGGGTAAGCATACACTAGGGTTGATAATATTTTCAGGCAATGGTTTGACCATAATTTTTTCTACTAGAGACTTTATTCAATTTTGATATGACAGAAGGTTTCATTTGTTTAAATCTTAAATTCATTCATCTAGTCACTCTTCACTTCATACATTATGTCTGATTAATTACATAGATTTGCGTCTTCTGTTTCATAATGATGAGTTCTTAAAAAAGCAAATATTTATTATCATTTTAATTATAAAATTTAAAATTATCATATTTTGAAATGTTTCGCAAATTTCGTTACTTGTACTACCAATATTTATGGTTATGCGATTTTGCGAACGTTTTGCTACTTCATCAATTTACAGTGCTACGCATGTTTTATTATGATAATTTTTAAATTATGTTTTGAAATAAGTGCATATTAAAACATTACCTATTAAAACTAATTCATAGTAATAAAAATAATATCTTATTTAAACTTAAACTTAGCGAATGTCAATTCTGTGACTATGAGTCAAGCGTAAGCTCAAATAGGAGCAGTCTTCCAGCTTCCGGCGCATGCTTGTAAGTGGTATTAGCATATGTCTCCGTCCTTTATTTAATACTTCAGTGATCTGGAAGTATGATTTCAAAAAAGGTTTTGGAAAGTTTACACTATTGTTTGGTACTTGCGTTTTAACACAGCACCTTGTCACAATTCGGCAATCTTTTACAGACGAAAAAGGATGATCAAATAAGTCGCCATTCAATTTGATTGCAAGAATTAACTTATTACATATATACTTTATATTCTACTCAGGTATTTATCCCAAAATTGAACAATAAATTTACTTACAAGCTGGATTTTA